TTTATTCTTTTATAATGGGAAAAATATATCAGAATCAGATACAAGGACAAATAATTTATTATCCTTTATGATGAAACCTGCAAACCCAAAAAGTTAATTAATTTTTTCAACTGGTAAGTATTGTAATTCCATTAGGCACTCTATTAGTCTTGTTTGACAACCTTGAAGCATATATATTTGCCATATATATGTATATATGTCAAATAAAATTTAATAAGCATTTAAATAGCATCAGTAGAATTTGGAGCTAAAGCTAAGGTTATTTCCTAACACTGCAATGTCACTTACCTTTAATAGCTTTGAACTAAATAATTATTACTTCAATATAAGAAAAATTCAAGAGTCTTATTTACCTTCTAGTAAAGCAGTAATTTATCTTGAATTATTCAATGGTAAAATAAGATATTCTATAAGAGGTACAGACGGACGAGTGATAAGTGTTATCGTGAATGAAAAACATCTCAAGGCAAAAATGCAGAAGCCATACATAATAGAAAAGGATGTTTATGGAACACAATCAATGACCTTGTGATAAATTCCGTGTCTGAAAGAGAAATGTTCTTAGTGGAAGCTTCAACCAGAAACTATCATTTGTCTCTTGTCACTACTAAACTTTCCATGGATGAGGAGTCAGATTTAACTTTCAGTGCATCAGTTTCATCCTTTGGTCAGCACTGATACACACAGCATCATAAATACGAAGCCTTCAAGTATTTTCTAATAATGCCCTTTATGGCAATATTATTTTTTAATTTTTAACTTATTCCTCCAAATTTATTTTTCTAGGTCTAGATATAAATACACCCTGTAGATGAATTTATAGAAATGCCCTTTCCGTGTATTTGTGTGTACGTATGTACATGTGATGATACATAATACTTCGATAGCATTAATTCACTAGACAATGGTACTCACTACATTGGACTATTGTTCTTGGCTTTAAAAATTAGCAACCCATCATACCTCAAAACAAACAAACAAGCAAACTTATCCCCCTCAAAATAAAACAATAGAATGTGTAGGTATTTTGATAAGCAAAACCAATTTATAGCTAGGAGTATTTTTTGCACCCCAAACTACAGTTAAAGCAAGACCACTCATGATTCCTTCCTATGGTGTAGTAGAGCCAACTCACAACAGCTTACAAGAGGAAATTATTAAATTCTCAGAAATTTGGGGAGCTGGTTGTTGAACACAGTTGTTATTTTAAAAGTTAAAGTGTAGAAATATACAATTAAATGACATATTAAAAGCAAAGGCAAAGAGTGCTCAGAACCCATGATTTCTTAATTATTTTGCTATCTTTCACTTCTGCTTAAGTGCTTGAGGTCATTAATATCTATTATACCTTCATAGTGGAAACACAATGAAGGATTTTTATGCCCCCACACCACTGCCTCCAGGTGTCTGTTGCTAAACATTTATCAGCATACCACTGATTAACTCCCAATATAGAGGAAAGATAGCTTAGTGGATCACAATGCAGGCCTCCAAATATGCGTGCTTTTGTAAATTTTTGTTTAAACTTGTAGTAGCCTAAGTTTCTTCATCTGTAAAATGGTTACAAATATCTTTAAAGCACGTAACACTGTGTCTCTACTGGACCATAAAGTGAGTAGTCAATGTTAATTATAATCACTAGCAACCATGAGATGGAGAGATGAAGTATAGAATAGGCTGTGTTTGATTTAGTTTAAATTCAAAACATTTGGCAAAATAGAAAAATTAGATTTTTTATAATGCAATAATTTCTTCATATGGAATCATTACACCTCAGTGCCCAAGGTAGAAGGAGAAGTCAGTTGCATTCTGAGAAAATTATAGAAAGTTGTGCTTTTGTACTTCTAGAAGATTAACATTTGCTTTCCTAATATTTAATTCTTCATTCTTGGCTATTTTTACTTTGGTAAAAACCTTGTATAGGCCATATGCACACACACACATATATTATTATTAATTCAACCAAATATCCAGCATGATCCAGTGGAAACATTTTGGGATCAGGAAGAACTACACTTTTATATTGATTCTGTTCCAACTTACTGCATCTACCAGGCCAAACCATTTATCTACTCTGGCCTCCAATTTCTCATCATTATCTAGAACAAGTTTGGATTAGCAGCTGAATCAAATTTTTGATAAAATATTTCATAGAAACCCACTATACACAGTTTCGGATAGTGCAGGAGATAATGGACTACATGTATCTATGTCCCTTTCTTTCCCAAATTCCAGAAAAAAATACAAAAATGTAAAGTACATAAAAGGCAATGGAAAATACCAAAAGCAACATCAGCATACTGGAAATTTAGAGAAATTACCACAGTATAGAAAACATATGGGGACAATAACTAGACCACAGAATATCATAGCTAAAAACATGCAGACATCAACTGCACAGATAAGGACACAAAGCTCAGAGGATTCATAGATAAATATGGATACATACATAAATATGATACACAGAATGCTCAAAAACAAACATTTCAATGGAAACCCCATTCAAACAACTGGACCATTTGTAAACTTTCTCTGAGAGTCCCTACAGCTAAATTGTTAACAGTATAGCTCTAAACATTAACCATTCATTCCTTCATTCATTCATAAGTACCCAAATCATGGTGCATGTATTCATACAATGGAATATTACTCAACAAACTAAAAGAACGAACTTTTGAAATATGCAAGTTTTCAGATGAATCTCAAAGGCATTATGGTGTGTTAAAAAAAAATCAGTCTTAAAGGGTTACACTTTGTGTGATTCCATTTATATAAAATTCATGAAAAGTCAAATCTACAGAGATGCAGATGCAATCAGTGGTTGCCAGGGGTTATGAGAGATGGGAGGGTTTGACCTAAAAGATATAGTAGTTAAAGGGATATTTTTGAGGGGTGATAAAACTATTCTGTATACCATTATGATGGTGGCAACATTAATCCATACATGTGTTAAAATGCACAGAATTATATACCACAAGGAAGAAAAAAGTCAAGTTCACACAAGATGATTTCAAAAAACATAATAAACATATTTAGTTTTTATTTCTCAAATATACTGAGGTATTTTTAGTTATTTAACATTTTATTAACTTAAATGAATTGTAATCAGAAAATACATTTTACAATGAAATCAGTTCATTAGAATTGAGAATTGATAGAGACTTAATTTTATGACCAGAGTATTACCAATAGTTTTAAATATTCTGTGCATATTAAAAGAACATCTATCTATAAATGTTTAATACAGGGACCTAACTCCTTTTATTAGATCAATTTTATTAATTATGCTGATCAATGGCCTTATTGATTTTGTTGCTTGTTGAGAGGAAGTATAATTATTTTTAATATTTTATGCGATGTTATTGTCATACAAAGGTAAAATTGTTAGGTATGTGGCAATTAGAATTTTTTACTATTAGGTAATCCTTTTATTTCTATAATTTTTTACTTTAATTTTTTAAATTTTATACTAAAATATCTGCAGTAGCATTATTTTATTAGTGTTCACATGTATATATTTTTCTAGATTATTTTTTACATTCAACAATTCTGTTTTAAATGGCTTACATAAATAGCATATATTTAGTTTGTTTCTTTCAATCTGCTAATCTTGGCATCTAACTGGAGAATTTAGGCCTTTTATATTCAATGTAATTTTTAATATATTTAGATTTATATCTGCCTTTCTCTATGTGTGTTGATATGCACATTCTCATTTGTTTTTATCTTAATTTTTAACTTTTGTGATTCATCATTAATCATTCCATTTTTCTTCTCTTGTTCAGAATTTATATATTCTGTATCTTTTATTTTAGTGATTACCATTAAAATTGCAATACATATAATTAAATTGTAAAATGTACATATGCTTTGACCCAAATATTATTATTAATAATTTATTTTCAAAATTAAGAACAAAGATACAATAAAATCATTATAATGTTATTCAGTATGCTGAAAATTGAGAAAAAAAGTTTAAATATTCAATGTCAGGTTGTTGGTTAAAGAAAACTATGCAATAAAGTAATCAGCAGTCATTTAAAGTAATATTTTAAAAGAATAATTAATTAAATAACTATTTTCACAATACAGCATTAAACAAAAGTAGGAAAGGAAAAGCCCAATATAATTTTTTGTGTATGGACACACACACATGTGTTTATATGTACATATGTGAATATACTTATGTCTATAGATGCATTTGTAATATAAAGATCATATGAAAAATATGACTAATAGTAATTATAGCATGGTGGTGAGATTATGAGTAACAAATTTTATTTTGTTTATCAGAATTTTATCTATTCTTATGGGAGTATATTTTTGAAATAACAAAATATAATTACAGAATTAATTAATTTCCAATATTATTAGGAAATTGAGAACACAAAATAGTGTTTACAGTAAGAGTTTAAGTGAAAAAAGTAATTATATCTCTGCCATGAATACAGCAATTTATTTATTTTTATTTATTTATTTTTTTGAGACAGAGTGTCCCTCTGTTGCTCAGGCTAGAGTGCCAGGGCTCAAGCGATCCTCCTACCTCAGCCTTCCAGAGTGCCAGGATTATAGGCAGAAGAGCCATCGGACCTGGCCTAGCAATTTAGAAATTGCTTATGCATATGAAAAATATCTTCTAGAGAATGCAGAAGAATTAAAATAGTTAGCTTGATATGGTTTTCAATTATGTGCTATCATTTTTTTTCTCAAAACAATTGTTTTCTCTCTAATAGAAATAAAAGCATTAACTTCACTGAGAGAGACTGTGATGACAGCCTGAGCAATAAAAGAGGAAATTGTGTAGATCCAGCATAATCCAAGTTCAAATATAGTGTTTTCTCACTGCACAGATCTAGTTGTTTCTGTCAGATAACTGTTATTACTATCATTAGCCAATAAGTAAATCCCTCATAGATGAGCGAGCCAGAGGTTGCCCCTTCCGTCATCTTTGGCTCAGCTTTGCCATTAATCTCAGGAAAGATTCTTCTGTGATCTTTCAGCCCTGCTCATGTGCTGTGACCTTGGGCTACAGGCTCTGCCATTGAACTAAGACCAAGGATTTGATGGTTCTCTCACTGTCTTTGACTTCACGCTGACACAACCATTGTGAATAATTTCACCTGCTGCTACATCGTGAGTTCTTTTTCTGTCATAAGTGTACACACACACAAACATACACAGATGTAAACATACCTAAATCATTCTTGGCATAGAATAAACAAAATCTTTGGGAAATGGGTTTCATATGAAACATCTTTGGTTACTCTTGTGCTTTGAATTCTTGGCATGAGAGATGGTGGTGCAAAAGTAGACTACTTCTAGACTGCTGCTAACATTCTGATTCAAAATATGAATGTTAAAATGAAAAAGAGCTTATTTATGGATTTCCAGTGTATCCTCAGAATTGCCAGTTATTATAAACATTCAGAAACAGTATATCCCAATTTTTCAGTAGAAATTGAGAAGAAATGTACATCAGCTGATTCCACACATTTCTTAACTGGTGAAAAATTATTAAAAACCAAATAAACAAAAAACTAAACATCATCTGTGATGGGTAGACTCCGGGGAGATCCCACTCTTTTCCCATGGCCAGGTATTCAATCTTTTGTGTAGCTCCTTCCCTGTGATGATGAGATTTATGTGTCAATTTGCCTATGCTGTAGTACCCCATTATTTAATCAAACATTAATCTAGGTGCTGTTGTAAAGGTATTTTATTTTATTTATTTATTTATTTGAGACAGAGTCTCACTCTGTTGCCCAGGCTAGAGTATCAACCTAACTCACAGCAACCTCAAACTCCTAGGCTCAAGCAATCCTTCTGCCTCATCCTCCATGCCTGGCTAATTTTTTCTATATATTTTTATTTGGCCAATTAATTTCTTTCTATTTTCAGTAGAGATGGGATCTCGCTCTTGTTCAGGCTGGTCTTGAACTTCTGACCTCTAGCGATCTGCCAACCTCGGCCTCCCAGAGTTCTAGGATTACAGGCATGAGCCACCACGCAGGGCCAAAGGTATTTTATAGATGTGGTTAAAGTCTGTAATCAGATGGCTTTGAGTAAAGGAGATTACTCTGGACAATCTGGGCAGCCCTCATTCAATCGATTGACCATGAAGAGCTGGGTGGGGAAACAGTGGCTTTCTAGGTGCTTAAGTGTGGACTTTTGACTAAACCCAAATTTTAGAAAACAAATCGTTTTATTTTCATTAATACACTTTTGTTCATCTTTTTATATTTTTATTTTATTTTGAAAACAAATCTATTTAAGATATCATAGAAGAAAATGTTTCAATGAAATAATCCTTCCAGATTGACTGGAACAATTAGAATGTTAGTAAACCATAATAGGTAAATTGATGGCTGCTATGCTCACAATTTAGTTCTATAATAACATTCTCCCCCACCCCTCCACTGGTGCCACTACCACAAGGCTGGTCGGCGAGAGTGTATGGTGGTCGAGTACACCAATTTATTATCAGCTTTTGACAATGGTGCAATGTGTTTCTGTTTGAAGTGGAATGTGTAAATAGTTGCACAGCTTGAAAGTATTTTTTAATTCTGTCTGTTTAACAGCCCATCATGTCAATGAAGGCCAAGAAACCCTGAAGGAAGAAAACAGATTTTTTTAATGAGGATTGGGAATTATATTATCTTGTTTCTGCTAAAGATAAAATGATTTGCTTGCTTTGTGATAGTTGCAATATCAACACTAAAGAAATCCAATGCTCATCATCATTATAACACTTATATGGACCACAGATATTTTAAATTAGAGAGAGAGGCATGAAAGATTATATTGGAGAAATTAAAAGATGAAAAGTTAAAGCAAAGACAATTCTTTCAAGCAGTAATAAGACCTGCAGATAATGTCATGAAAGCAACTTATGAAGTAGCTTATGTACTCAGGAAAAAAGGAAAGCCATACAGTGATGCAGAAATTGTGAAAGAATGAATTTTCAAAATTGTAGGATGCTTAGACTCTGATAACATTTCAAAGTACAAACAACTGCCTCTTCATGCAATACTTCAAATGGAAAAAATATATTATTTAATTGCTTTGGATGAATCAGCTGACACTACTGACTCATTGCAAGTTTTATACCTCATAGTGGAAAATTTTCTTTGCCACAAAGAGTTACTTTGGACACTCTTGAGACTAAAACACAAGGAATAGATATCTTCAACAACTTTCAAGATGGATGTCCTAAAGTTGGACTGAATTTGGTAAATTTAGGGAATGTATGTACAGATGGTGCACCTTCCATGATAGGAAAACATGAAGGATTTATTGCATAGATAATAAAGTATTAACAGATCCAGATGCTCTCATTTCTTTGTATCTTGCATCAGCAAAATCTCTATGCTGAAGCTACCATATTAAGTGGCACTTTGCTATAAGTATTGTTAACTATATTTGTGCAAATGCTGCATGACACTGTCAGTTTTGTAGCATGCTAACGTTGAACAATGAGGTATGCAGTGTGGATTTCCTGCATCATTCTAAAGAGCTTTGGCTATCGCAGGGGCAGGTGTTAGCCAAAGTTTTATCTCTGTGAGCATAGATAGTTAAATTTTATGAAGAACAGCATCAACAACATGAATTATTGAAAGAAGATTTCTATAGGAATGCAGCATTTCTGTCTGATATCATGTCAAATCAAAATGACTGGAATACTTCTTTGCAAGGTAAAACTAATTCTATATATGATATGTGGCAAAAAATCCAACCATTTTGAAAAAAGCTTTTCTTAAAACAGTTCTTCAAATAGAAATTTCAAATGAGCATTTTACCCAGTTTGCAAAGGTCATTGATGACCAGGATGTTACATATTAATCATTTGAAGAATATGCAGCTGTTATAGCCCTATCAGTTGGAGAGCACAAAGTTCACTGTTTTTGAGAATCATGACATCACACCTAAATTAGCATTTTAGCCTCACCTAGTTGATATCACCAAGGAACCTAAAGAACTACAGATGAAATTGATTGAACTCTCAATAGATGACATTTTAAAATCATCATTTGATGCTTAGAAAGATCCAATTGAAAAATGGAAAAATGTAGTAGAATATCCACACCTTCAGCAACATGTTTGAAAAATGCTTTCTTGCTTTTCTACCACTTATTGCTGTGAATCTACATTCTCCTAACAAACCCAAATCAAGATGCCCTTAAGATCACAAATGACTGATACCCATCTAGAGAACCAACTGAAACTGTGAATCTCCATGCTGCAACCAAATATTCAAATGCTTTCCAATGAAAAACAGACACAACAAAGTTATTAAACAGGTAACTTTAAAATTAAGAAATAGTTTTCATTTTTTGAAATTATTAAGTACATAGTAGTTAGATTTTGACAAAATAATGTACACTTTTAAGTATATCAAAATCTATGTTTCTATATGATAGTAACCATGGATTTGAAGCAAAAATAACTAATTTTGTATCTCATGTACACCTCATACTCATTGTGGACCTTCAGCTTCATTTAATGCCCTCAGTTGCTTTTTTTAATTAAAAAAGATAAGTAACATAACACTACTTATAATAATTATTGAAAATAATGTATTTTAAAGCATTTTTACAACTGTCAATGATACAAAAAAGAATTGTGGGATGATTATACTTTGTGATATTGACATTGTTGTTTTTTCATCCTTAATTGAATTGTTATTTCTCCCCTTAATTTCTCAAAGGTGATCTGTGTTCTCTTATAAGTGCTTGGTGTTTGTTCCATAGCAGAAACCGGGAATTGACTTCAGAAACTTATATGCCTTTTTCTTCCCTGGAAAGAATGGCTGGTGCCAAGAAAAAGAGCAGCATAAACATAAAAGTTTATGAATCCCTCTAAAATTTCACTCCCTGGCAAACTTAAGGGAGATCTCAGTACTCAGTAATATTGCTGCATGACTCTCCTAGGAAGATTGGGTCCAGGCACCTGGGGCCCCAACCCCAACTAAAGCTTCATGTCTAAGTGTGACGCAGATGCAATGGAGAAGCCCACCTTCAGGGACCACTCAGGCTTGGACAATGGGCATAATAGTAGAGATCAGAGAGCCTTACTAAATATTCTACCATGTTTAAATCCCCTCTACTCTTCGCATAACGAAGAATGTGAGAATGAGCATTAAAAAAAGACTGACACTAAATTTTGTATCAGCTCAGCAAGACATAAAATCAAATATGGATGCTTTTTGACTTTTGAAAAATAACATTTAGGCCAGGTGTGGTGGCTCACGCCTGTAATCCTAGCACTCTGGGAGGCCATGGCGGGAGGAATGCTCAAGGTCAAGAGTTTGAAAGCAGCTTGAGCAAGAGTGAGACCCCGTCTCTACTAAAAATAGAAAGAAATTAATTGGCCAACTAAAAATATATAGACAAATTAGCCGGGCCTGGTGGCGCATACCTGTAATCCCAGCTACTCAGGAGGCTGGGGTAGGAGGATTGCTTGAGCTCAAGCATTTGAGGTTGCTGTGAGCTAGGCTGACACCACAGCAACAGCCCGGGCAACAGAGTGAGACTCTATCTCAGAAAAAAAATAAATAAATAAATAACATGTTACAATTAACTTTAGGCATAAAATTTGCACTTGCTTCACAAGAAAATATTATTGCATGTTATCATGTTATAGGAACTTAAAGAAAATGTTCCCAAAGTCTACAGTGTGCCTGCTATAGGTTCACCAGGGGTCAATAAAAGATTACTGTGACTACCACCAAGAACGTATACATAAATTTTCATTCTCTTTCCACTATACAATGTTACTCTCAAAATTTCAAGGAAAAAGGATATGGAATAATTTTTATCATAACTTACAGATTGTCTATGACATTCTGAGAGCAGTCTTTATATTAGATGCCTTTCACATATACCTGAGAGCCCAGTGATATACCTTCAAAGGTATAAGTTAGGGCAAGAGAAATGGACATCCAAAAAATTCATGTCAAAAAATAATAGACAAAAAAAAAAATAATAGACAATTAGCAGGCAAAAACTCAGCCAAATGATAAAAGCCTCTGCAAGTTCAATATTTCCATGACTCTGTGAGATGATAGGAGAAATTTACTAAGCTTTTTGTTATTAGCCATGAATGATCAGGGTAGTTTTAAGAATACATTTCAACAAGGCAACTTAAAATTTTTCAGTCACTTTTTTGACACTATCTTAAAAAGTAGAAGTCTCTGGACACATGTGTATATTAATAGAAGTGGCATCTATCTCTCTGTCTATCCACATAGTACATGTAGATACGCATTTGAATGCCTCATGTATTAATCAATATTGCCTGATTTAGCTATATGTCTCTTTGATCAGTAGACATTAAATATTGACATGCATATGATTTGACCAAATTGCATTTTTTGAAAAGCAAATATTAATGTGTAAGTGGATTATATGCCACCCAATAAAATGACCTTTGTCTCCTAACCTACTTGTAAAGTTAATGAAGGGGCATTTTACAAATTAAAAATAAAGGAATATCTTCTTGAAGACAAGACAGATACCTCTTCAAACTGAAGAAACACCAAAAGAAACTCAATTAAAACAATATATAGATTCTGGTTAGTTGCAATATGTTGGACTGACATGGAAACCTCGAGTATTTTTGTCACTTCTTTTAACAGCTGCCCTGTAAAAAGTTAGCCCTGCAAGTTACCCGTTGTGCTTATGCTTCACATGGGCATTGTCATGACTTAGAAAATTAAGCACTTGGTGTAATTTTATAAACTCTTTAAAGACTATTAGAGTACCCTTTAGCATGAAAGTTCTTAATTTATAAACTCCTATATATTTTCAAAGTGCTTTCAAGCCCATCTCGCCTGAATCTTAGAACAACCTTGTGAAGACAGCAGATAGGGAAAATTATCAGTACTTTGAAAAGGCAACTAAAAACTCAAGGCACAAGTATGGGAAGTGACTTAAAAATCATGGAATTCAGAATTTGCTTCATGTGTTAGTGGATCTACTTTACTGTTCAAAAGATTGTGAAAATGTGCTTTTTCAAAATCTTTGGCATTTTTAGATGTCAAAATAATACCTGAAGCAATAAAAACAACCTTCAAGCATAGAAAATAAAACCTACCAATCTCCAAATTGATATGGAATGACATTAAGCTCATAAATATGTCTCTTACAGACAAAAATTATATCAAATTGTCACACTTTTAGACAAATGTTAAAGATGTATGATTTCCCACTTAGCATATTTAATGTTCTGTACAGAAAGCCTGAGTTTAGCATATTCCTTTGCCCTAAACCAGTAAATATCCACAAAAATATTGATTCATTCTTAAAGTAGTAAACAAAGATCTTACCTCTCTGTACATATACTTGATTTCATAACCATTGAAGTTTTGCCTATCCAATAATTATTTATTTAGTTACTCTCCTTATAATTTACATCCAGCAGAAGACATTGGATTAGTTATTTGCACATTTTTGATTAATTTGATACTTTTACTTTTTTTTTTTACTCCTATTTGGGATTCTGAAGAGGTAAGAAAACTTTAAGTTTAATCCAATCAATTTCAGATCTACCCCAGAAAATACATACTCAGCAGAGGACTTAACTAAAATAAATACATGGGTGAATTCAATTGAAAATGAATGTTGATATCTTCATTGTATCCAAATCATGGATATAGAAATCTTGATAATATGTACAATAAAGAGCTTAGTCAGTAGTAATAAACCAAATCTATGTTTTCATTAATATTCTTTGTAATAGATGAAAACAACTCAAGTGTCCATAAACCATGGAATAGATTAATAAATTTTGTAATTTTCATTCAACTGAATATGATATTCCTTGAAATTTATGTTATTGCTTCTGTTGTTTCGCAGCCAAAATTCAAAGCCAGGAAACCATGCTTCCAGTCTGAGCTTTTAGCCATCACTACACCAAATTTCTGAAAGTATCCTCCATCTATATCCTGATTCTGAACAATAGGGTACAAAGTCTTTGTGTGTTTCCATCCAACCTCTGTCTGCCACGTGAAGAATGGCAACCAGACAGAATAAATGGACTCAATCTTGAAGACTACATCCTGTGCTATACATGCATATCTTTTACAGAATTTTTAAGTGTTTAATTCTGATGGTGGATGCATGGATGAGAGTATTCATGAACTACCCTGTCCTACCAGAACCTACTACCCTTTAGCAAAGCTTTCCCCACTACCTTCTCATACAACCATAGTGGTTATGAATATGTGAAAAGCCACAGACAGTATGAATTATTATCCCCTCTAAATGACTGTCCTTTCTTTGATTCTTTAAATGATTCCAAAATATCTAGGCAGTGAATGAATTATAAAAGCAACAGGTGGATGTTTCTGATGGATTATACCAATTCCCTGCACCTGCCTCTGTTTCTCTGTGCTGGCTGTGCTTGCTCCCATTCCCAAACAACCTTGACCCTATTCCAGAATTCTGTGTCTGTCGTCAACCTCAAGGCAACCTCTGGCCCTAAAGCCTTACCATTACTATAGTCGGAAATTGTAGGAATGGAAGAAAATTCAGATCATTGACCTCAATCAATTACATTCTCTTCTTCACTTTTATATTCTGACATTTCAAGCTAGTTGATGAATGCTCTAACTTTGGATCAAAAATTAACCAGTATGTGAGTCACAAGATTTTTCATAACATTCTCTCTTTTCTTTCAGAGAAAATTATCAACGGGTCCTGGTTAGCTGTTTATTAGCCTCTAGACTGCAGCCTCTCTGAAGCTCACCTTAAAATGGGTCTGGTGCAAAATTGCTTTTGGCATTTATGATATCTCAGGCTTGAAGGATCATAGGACTTTTTTTTTTTCCTGTTGCTGTTTCCCACCAAAAAAGATACATCTAGTAACCTAAGGCTGAATAATATTAATAGAGTTTCTCAATGCCACTCTTCTTAGTGATGGTTATGATACAGTTGGAATGTTTTTCACAAAGTTTTAGGCCTGCCTGTAGATGCCTCTTAAATCAGTAGCAAGAAAGTCATATAAGCTATAATTCCAGGCCTCTCAATTCTTGTTTTCATGTCTTTGCAAGGGACTCATTATCTTTGTACTTTTTAAGAGTTTTATTAGGGGTAGGAAGTCTAATCTTTCATATGCTTTTCAAATGTTAACCTGATACAAAATTTGTATTTCATAACCAAACTTCACCCAGGGAGGCAAGAGGGAGCAGTCACTGTGAACCACTCCCCCGGCACATAAATTCCACTCCCACTGTTACAAACACAGAAATGTGCATGACTTTGGAGGTTGCCAACACTCAATGACCTGCTTTGCAGGTTTACTATCCAGACCTGGCCTTTCTATAATAGTTACTTAATGCTCGGATTGGAATATACTGAAACTTCTGTCTTTGCTACTCCTATCTCCCCTAAGTAGTTCATCCTGCCCTGTCCAGTTGAGAACTTACACTCTCACACAGAGTAGTTGATTGGGAAGTGTTTAGACAAGTAAGAAGTATATAGCCAAGCTACCTCAATGACTGAGAGGACACACATAGCAAAATATTATGGATCATGCCCACTATCCACACTCAAACCACCACATGACACATCTCAAGGGCCATGAATGTACATTTTCCTTGTTCTAAAGAATAAGAGAGAGTGGGTAGACTATGGACTCTCTGTACTGTTTAATAACCACATTTTGTGTTAACATAAGGTTGTATTAGTTTGCTGTAATTGCCATTACAAAATGTCACAAAATTGCATAGCTTAAAAAAGATAATTTTTATTGTTTCACAATTTTGGAAGCTAAAAGTCTGAAATCATGGTGTTGGAAGGATTGGTTCCTTCTAATGGCTCTAAATTAAGAATATGTTCTGTTCCATTCCTCTTTCCTGGGCTTGTAGATAGCTGTCTTCTCCCTATATCTGTCTATTTGCATCATCTTTCTTCTATGTATATATGTCTCTGTTTAAATTGTAGCTTGTTGTAAGGACACAAATTATATTGGATTAAGGACCACTCTAATGACCTCATTTTAACTTGATTAGCTCTGTAAAGACCCTGTCCCACAAATATGGTCAAAATCCCAGGATATTGGGGACTATAAATATTACATTTGAGGGGACACGATACTACCCATAAGAAAGAGTATGGAATAATTTAGACATGGCCCCCCCCATACACATGTACACACAGAGTCTATTGATATTAATGTAAAATACTGATACTACTCTTGAGTCAGTTGGGCCAATCATTTGTCTCACCCCAGGCCAGAAATTTAATCTGCATTAAAATGTACAGATAGACTAGGGAAGTATTAATATTTTCCTGATTGACAGCCATTAAAAATAGAAAAAGTTACACAATCACTAAAGTTATTTGACCTTATACCGCTGATATTTTAGAGTGTAAAACTCTAGATTGAGAGTTGGGGCCCCTAACAGTAGAAAGCTAGAAGATATTATTGATTAAGATAATTCTTCCACCTTTTTACTGAATAGTATTGCTACTGTCTGATTCTCATGTTGTAACTCATGTTTCTAAAGCATCATCTGTCCCTCTTCATATACTGAATACAGCTTAGAGCCCTTAATAGCAGAAGTATAAAAGTTCTATGGAAGTATAAAACATGCCTAGGTACGTAGGATATTTCTTACTTTTTGTGTTTCCTGATTATTTTATATTTGAATGGATGGCTTTAGAAACTAAATATGAACTAATCTCCATTGTGCATGTCATTAGAAAGAACTGAAGAGTTTAGCCAGTCAACTTCCACCTTTGCACTAAATACAGATGTCTCCTTGATATTCAAATTAACCCTGAAGATTAAGTCCCTTTATGTCAATGCTTTGCAATTTTGTTTTATGCCTCTTTGTCTTTCACATGCTTAGTACATATGCATAAGTCATATCAATCAATAGGGTAAGGAGACATGTCCCAAGGAGTGACTGAGAATCGATTTTCAATATAGTGGTAGTAACATCTCATGAATCCAAGTATTAACTATCATCATCTAGATGAGGGAAGTACAATAGTCAACCTTGCTTTGCTGTTTATATTCAGTGCTCTAAGTATGTAATTATGCACACCCTACCTGATTCTGAAAAATGATTTGAGATAGTCTATACAATGAACTCAATCCAACAATATAAAGGTAGCCTGAAGAAATTGGAATAAAGTAAAAGAAAGATTAGTAAAATAATATATATACAACTGTGTTCACTCTGTAAAATACATAACAACAATACATTATACTAAAGAAGGATTTAATCCACACATTATAAAAGATGAATTATCATTAGACTATCAGGCAATGTAGTTCTACACTACAGAAAAGAACATGTAATTACAGTATATTGATAAATGTTATAAATGCATTATATAAACTTTAATACTTTTCATGATTACAAATTTTAAAAACACTAGTTATAGAAGGAATTTTCTTGACACAATAAATACTTCATACTTAAAGACATCATATATAATGGAGAAAATATACGACATTCCATCCCTTGCCAATTGCTCTTTTGTTTTACTTACTTCTCTGGGTTGTCAGAAATTCCACATCTGGAATATTTTCTCTAGTTTGTTTTACAAGCTTTGAACTCATGACTCATTGACACCATCCAATCAATAATAGTCTCACTTTTGGCAATGTCTGTCTCTTTTTGAGGCTAGCCTTTATATGCCTTCCAAGGAGATAATTAGCTAATAAAGAAAACTACAATTTGCAAATGGGAAAACTGAAGATTTATGAAAATTTGAAGTTTTAATTGATTCAAACAATTAACTCCTTGTTTGTAACTATCTTCATGGTTGGGTGTGCAATTTTCATAAAGATTTTACATTCTTGTTTTTATGTGAATATGAATGTTTGATATATGTACATACGTGTATTATATGTATAATATCTAGAAAGACATTTCTCCACACTAAATATATGTTATTCTCAAATGATGCTTATGAGTACTTGGTTTGAGTTTTATTGTCAGAACATAATTGGAGGTATTAAGAATACAGATTCTGTAAGATATTTCTAACAAAAATATTGATCATATTGACCATGACCATATACATATATGTATAAAAGATATATATACACATATATAATCTATATAAAAGAAATTTGGGAAAGAGGAAGATATAAATAGGAAAAATAGGAAAATTTGGAGTCCTTAAGATTACAAAACAACAGTGACAGTTCTTAATATAGTTTCTCATAACTGTTGCAATTACTAGATCAATGGTTCTCAACCAGGGCTATACATCATGGTTAACATTAGAAGATTTTTTTGATATTTTGTTTTAGTATTTTGTGTGTGTATGTGTTTGAATGCCTTCCTTTCTTTTTTCTTTTTCTTTTTCTAGAGGCTTTCATACCTCACCCTATAATTACTGAATCAGAATCTCAGAAAATCAGAATTACTTATAATTCTAAGTAGTTAAAATTGCTCAGAGTTTCTAGTATTCTTTTAAGATACATATAGCAACACAAATAGGTGTTAAAATACATTAAGCAAAAGCAAATCTTAGGCACAGTTTAATCTAAATAAATGTTTCAAAACAAATATAAAAACAGCTCTCTATTTTTTAAATGAAACTCATATCAAAAGAAATATAACAAAGTAGGTGATTATGATGATGGGTTGAGAATGGGCCTCAGAATTAGAGAACAGAGAGGAGAAATGACATAAAGTAAAATAATAGAGAAATCTTGCATGAATTTATATTTGTGGTAAAAACTAAGTCATTCACTGAAACAATTTCCTTTTACTGGACACAAAGGAAGACTGAAGACCCCATGTAAGTATGCTAGAGTCATGTGAGTTCTAGGCAATGAAAAGTGGTAGAAGTGACATATAGCATTTTAGGCCTGATCATTACACCTTATGTGTGATCACCCTATTGTTCTCTTTTTCTTTTCTTGTGAGTTAATCCACATCACAAGATGATAAGATCCCAGAGACCTGAGTCATCAGTCAGAGAAAAGCTACCACGTAGAGCCTGCCTGACTCATACTGAACTGTGACATGGGTGAAAATTAATCATTTAGGCTGTGAAGCTAATGAGATGTTTTGTTGTTGGACTGGCCATCGCTAATCACTCTAACAAAATGATGATGGTGTGCCATGCAATAAAGAATATAATTAAATATGATTTCTGTTTCTCTGAAGAAAAATATTTATAAAAACAAAGATGATGAGAAAAATAATTTACATATTAGTCTTTTACAAAGGCACCATGGAAACCAATGTTTGTATGTACTATTGTAAGGGCAAAAAATAGAGAAAAAAAGTCTATTTTAAAAGATTTTTTTTTTAAATTTAAAGAATTATTTTATTTTATTTTAATTTTATAATTTTATTTTTTTTCTCAAATTCTGTGGGTACAAATATTGTTAGGGTTACATACAGGTTCAAATTCTGGCCATATTAGAGAAACTGGTACCAGACATCCCCTCATGCTATAAACAAACTGAAAATTGTATGACATAAATGAAACAGTTGTTTTCAGTAATTGGAAAACAGGCAACACAAGACTGTGATAGCTGAGGGAAGAAAAGAAAGAGGTGAGAGCTGTGGTCACCTCAATTTTGTGTCTAAAAGCACTTTCTGGATGATGGCACTGGGAAGAGAAACCCAAGGAGAATAGACTTGTCTCTTTGGATGGAGGAAACAGAAATTGTTGTTGGGAATATCAACCTCCCGCTGGTCTGTGCAAGGCAGAGTACTGCAGAGAATGGAGCCAAGCAGAGAATGAGCACCAGTAATCTACTTAGGGATAACTTTGACTTTTTGGCTACATATTAAATTGTACATATATAGGATTAAATTCCATCAGGCCATCAGACTAGGCAAGAAGAAGAAGAAAAATAAAAACTTCTGAGGAGTTTTGAGCTCAATAAATTTGAAGATAACACAGACTTGGGAGTCATTTGAGTCCCAACCACTCAAAATGAGTGAATCTTGTGAGATATCTGAGGTATTCAGGGGAGGCATGGAAAAGGTAGGTGATTATCTAGAGTAAACTAACTTAGAGTAAAAGCTAATCTAGTGTAAACTTTGTTCTACACTTGCCCTAACAAAGCTCAAAAAAAGTGTCAAATGTACTATAGTAGTCAAGTTTAAAATGTACTTTATCCCCAAATGCTACAGATTCAATCAATCTCAATCAAATTCCCAGAAGACATTTCTTTGTTGTTTTTTTTTTTAGACAATCTCATTCTGTTGCCCCCATGCTAGAGTGCCATGGCGCCAGCCTAGCTCACAGTAACCTCAAACTCCTGGGTTCAAGTGATCCTCTGGCTTCAGCCTCCTAAGTAGCTGGAACTATAGGCATGCAGCACCATGCCCGGATAATTTTTTTATGTTTTCGGTAGAGATGGGGTCTCGCTCTTGCTCGGGCTGGTCTTGAACTCCTGAGCTCAAACGATCTGTCCTCCTTGGCCTCCCAGAGACAAGACATTTTGTAGCAACTGAAAAATATATTCTAAATACATGTGGAAATGCAAAGAACTTAGAATAACAAAAGTAACTTTGAAAAAGGAGAGCAAATTTGGAAGTTTTGCACCACTTGATTTCAAAATGTATTATAAAGGTCAATAGTCATGATAGTGGAGCATTGGCATAAAGATAGACACATAAGTGAATGGAATAGAAGAGAGCGTCCAGAAATAGATACACATACATGTTGGCTTTTGACACAGTTACCAAGGCAATTAAATGAGGCATAAAGGTAATCTTTTCAACAACTTGTACTAGAAATAAGGGATAACCACATACAGATAATAAATACAGCTTCTTTCTTTACTTCACATCATACACAAAACCATCATAAATCTAAATGTAAAGGCTGAAACTATAAAACTTGTAGAAGAAAACAGGAAAATCTTATTGATTTTCTGTTGGACAGAGATTTCTTAGCTTGGATGAAAAAAGGAAACAATAAAAGAAAAAAAATGACAAATTGAATTTTTTCAAAACCAGAGACTTTTGTTCTGAAAAAAAAATACCGATAAAAAAATAAAAGACAACCCATAGTCTGGGAGAAAGTAATTGCAAAACATACAGCCCAAAAAGGACTTATATCTAGAACATATCAAGAATCCTGATACAGTATTAAGAAGATAAACAAGCACATTTAAAATAGTCAAAAGATTTGAAAGGCATGTCACCCAAAAGATATGCACATGCAAAATAAACATAAAATATGTTCAATAGTATTAGTCATTAGGGAAATGTTAATTAAAGACACAATATGATAATACATAATTGCTAGAATGACTAAGGCTAAAAAGACTGACAATACCAAATATCAGTGAGAATGTGGATCTATGGGAACTCTTAAACATTGTTGACGGGAATATAAAATGGGTCTACCACTTTGAGAAATATTTTGAGAGTTTAAGTTATGTATAAACCTACCAATTCCAAGCAATATGACCAAACAATTCTAAGAAATATAATAACATATGTCTACCCAATGTCATGTACCTCAATTTTCAAAGACTTTATTTGTAATAGTGAAAAACAGGAAATAATCCAAATATTTATCATTTTCTTAATGGATAAACAAATTGTTGAAGATCCATACAATGAATTATATCCATTATTTACTCAATAAAAAGGGATTAGAGAAATAAAGGAATGAACTATTGATATACACAATATTGCAAATGAATTTCAAAGCATTATGCTAAGTGAAGAAATCCAGGTACAAAAGACTACATATTATATAATTCCATTTATATAAAATACTAGGACAGATAAAACTGTAGTGACAAAAAGCAGATTAATTTTTGCAGAGGCAAGCAAATGGGAGGAGGGGATTGAATATAATAAGGCATGAAAGAATTTTGGGGAGTGATGAGAATATGATTTATGACATTTGTGATGATGTTTATACAACTATAGACATTTGTCAAAACTTATCAAATTATATGATTAAAATTGGTGAATTTTATTGCATTGCAGTAAATTGTAAATTATACTTCAATAAAGCTATCCTCCCCGATAAAAAATGCAGATGTTTGCAGATAAATAAAAGCTGAGCTAATTCTTCTTTTGCAGAACTACACTACAAGAATATTAAGTGAAGTTTTTCAGACAAAATAAAAATGATTAAGAAATGGACACCCAGATCTACACAGAATAATGAAAAAAAAAATGGAAAAGTATTTTATATTTACTTATCATAAATAGAAATGGTAAATGTATGGATAAAAATAAAATATTTTTTCCATTTTTTTTTACTTCTTTCAAAGATTCTAATTTGTTTTAAAGCAAAGGTAATAGCTATTCACTTGAGGATTATAACACATGAAGAAGTAAAATGTATGACAACAATAATAATAAATGGAATAGAAAAATGAAAGTATACTGATAAGGTTCTTATATTTTTAATTGTGCTATAATATTATTTAAAGATAGACTGTGATGAGTCAAAGATAAAGTTTTTTTTAAGTTATATAGCTGCTACTAGTGCCAATAGTGGAGATAAAACAGAAAACTAAAAAATTCTCAGCACAAAATGAAGCTGAAATAGACAAAAAAAGAGCAAAGCAGAGATAGGTCAAATAGAAAACAAACTACACAATGACATACTTACATCTAATCTTATTTATAATTAAATCAAATACAAATTATCTAAAGAATATTATGCTTTCTATATGAATTTGCTTGAAATAAATTTGTTTATAAGTAAGTGAACCCCACTATTTAAGCTCCTATTGTTCAAGGGTCAGCTGTATGTGCTTTTTACAACAATACACCCTCTATGAAGAGGTAAAGAATAGTTAAAATCTAAAGGATGAATAAAAAGATATAATGTGAACAATAATTTTAAAAGAACTAAGGTGGTTATATTAACAACAAGTTAAGTACTTCAGTATAAATAATATTATGAAAAACATTTCAAAATGAATAGGAAAAATTCAGAAAGTATTGATAACAATTCTAAAATACATACATTTTATAAGAGATATTCAAAATTCATGAAGCAAATACTGACAGAGTTGAAAAATACATAAACTCGCAATTATGAGATTTCAACACACCTCTCAATTTTTAAACATATTAAGAATATTGAACACTTGAGCAACACTATTAACCAAATTGGTATTTTAGAACATTAAACTCAATAACAAAATATACATTTTATTAACTGGACATAGATTGTTTACTAAGAGAGACCATACTGGGAATGAATTTAAATACATTAAAATCATAGTGTTACCTGGCCATAATAAAATTATATTTAAAAACAATAACATAAAGATAATTTGGAAAATCTCCAAATATTTGACAATTACATAAAATACTTCTAAATAACTTAAGAAGAAGAATCAAGAAGAAATCACAAGGCGTGTTAGAACACATTTTAAACTGAATGAATACATGATACAATGTATTCAACAATGATACAACCCTGATCAACCAAAATGTGTGTGATACAATTAAAACAGTCCTTACAGGAAAATATATAGTTGTAAATACTTATAGTGCAAAATAAGAAAAATCTAAAATGAATGTTTTTAATTCCTCTTTTGGTAATGGCTGATTAGTTCTTATTGGACCTATTATTGAACAGATAACAACTATAAACTATAGAGAAAAAAAGTCTTAAAAACCAAAAAAAAAAAAAAAAAAAAAAAACACCAAACAAACAACAAAAACAAATGCACAACTATTTGATAGCACCAGAGACTGACCATAAGCAGGCAGATGTTATGGGTGAGTCCACACTTACTGGAAAGAAACAATACTGGGTAAGCTTCCTGGTTTCACTACTTTGAGTCTGAGGGCAGATACTGCTGCACCTAAATTATGGAAGTGATAAATCTTCCTTATTGGATTGATGGGTCAGAGAGCAGAGGGCAAAGATGGGCCAACCACACAGAAGGAAGGTAGAGTGAGGGGGAAGATCTCCAAAAGGGGAGATAAGGAAGAAACACTATATTATACCTAAATAACTGGCTGAACTCTAACCAAAATACATGGATAAGAGTACAAAGAAATACAATAGAATCCAGAATCTCTACAATGTATAGGATATAAATCCAAAGTACTCAAATTTCAAAGAAACATAAACATGCCACACTCAAGAGAAAAACAATCAGTGGAGACAAAACTAAAGATGCCCAAGATATTGTTGGAATTAGCAGCAAAGATTTTAAAGTTGTAATCATCTTTAAGGATCTATAGAAATATGTTGATAAAGAATGAAAGATAGTGCCAGCAAAGGAATAGAAACTTTAGAACATAGAATAGAAT